TAGTATAATAATATATATATATATATATATATATATATATATATATATGTATGTCTTGCTCGCTCACTCTTTGGTGTATATAGTCATTACCCAAAAGCTATTAAATCAATAGCTCACAGAAAGGTTTAAAAAGCTGTCGTCCAAAAGCTGATAAGAACTGGAGTTTTTTTAAATCCAGTATTAGTTAACATGTTGCCTTATATCTTCAGACAATAACTGGCAAATTTCAAAATAAAATGCAAAATTCTTCCAAGTTCTGAATGTTGTTTTGTTAAGGATATGAGTTCTTTTAATCAAAATTCAAAACAAGTTATTTTGTAGATAACTAGAATAAGTTTGAAATTGTAATCAAATTCTCAAACATACACATATTAACATTTTAAAATGTGAAGCTGGTAACTCTGTCAACAATATCATTCACAATTTCTTATATATACAACCTAAGTGTACCTATAAGATCAAAAAATATGCAATAAACTTTTTCCTGTGAATTTACTAACAAACTTACCCAATCTCCTTTTATTTTGTTATTGCAAATATTTGTTATGGACAAAATTATTCAACCTAAACAATTGGGAGTAGTTAAGGCAGAAGCAGACACAGAAATAAATACAGGATACAAAAGGGAGAAGTACTAGATGTGAAATTACAATAGAACATATCCCCACATCAGTCTTTCAACACTACAGCTTGAACATAACATACACATCAAGCACCACAGATTATATATGTAGGAAATCTGCATTATACTCACAAAGAAGCTACACTACATCTCTGTTTAGGATTCTCTTCAGGACTTAGCTATTAAATGCTATGTTTGCCTTGAGCTATATTCAGTCCAAAGGGAAAAATGACAAAAGCTTTTCTTTAAGAAGGAAATAAAAAAATTGAGGTGATATAACAGTTTCAGTAAGAAAGCTGTTTATTGAAAAACATTTTTAGAGAAGTATGTGGAGCAAGCAGTCTAGCGGCATGCGGGAATTATATCCTGATTGAATATTCTGGGATGTGTTCCAAACCAATCTAAACTAAAGCAGGTCTGTGTAATAACTTATCTTAACAATCCACAGATGTTAGGCAACCAAACACACACTCTGATGAAGGATTACAGTGCTCTAATGTGGCTTCTGGACCTCCATGCGATGCATCAGGAAAATGAAGTAAGGTAGATAATTTTATTCTGACCTATCATTAACACAATATTTTCAGTTTTTTCTTCTCTGTTTAGTGAGTTCTGATGCAGCATTACAGTAGGTCGTTCTAGAAATGCATAGACAATTTTTTCTATATACCTGTGTAAGGCAACAGGCACATACATGTCTACACATGGAGCTATTAGAGCCAAATAGCCAGGACTATAAGGGGCACCCTTTTTTCAAAAAGTTAATATTAATTATTAATATATTATAATTAATATTAATTATTTAATTGGAAAAACTGTATTTTCACAGCACAGCACAAGAGTCCTGTGCTTTACTGCTATGTCACAAAAATAATGTGCACACCGGATTCAATGGAGGTGGGTTAATGATTCCCCTGCAGATTCATGTAGAAAACTTCATGGGCTTAGTGGAAACATGCTTTTTGGGCAGTAGGACTCCATGCTTGCCCTCATGTGGAATGTGTATGGACATTCATTCACAAACATAAAGATATGCCTCACACTTACTCTTACAGGCACTGCTGAAAGTGATCCATTATGGGTAGGAACAGTATTCCTGTACTAAATAACATGAAATTCCAACGTGAACATATCTGTATTATACAATATATGTACCACAATATACAACATAAATAAGCATTTTCACTTACAAAACTATGAATTCTGCATTATGATTACACTTTTTCATGCGATATTAGCAGAGAGAAAAAGCTTTCTTTAATTCTACTGTAATTTCCATTATTACTTCCTATCCCATGAGCAGGAGGAAGTAAAAATGATGTTAGAAGGAAATTTAACTTCTACCCCAAATTTAGAGCCAGATGTTGGAAGCCTCAATCAGGCAAAATGCCCACCGAAGTCAATGCAAGTTTTGTCTAGATCAGATGTGCAAGTGTCTAGCATCACTTTGATGCAGAAGAAAAGTCCTTAAAACTTTGTTAGAAAACTTAGAGTATCTACACTGGTAGGCCATGAGTTATTAATGATAGTGCTCCATTCTCTGGACTGTGATTTTCTTCCATCTATTTTGTTTTGGAGGATTGATCCTAATAAACAGAGGCACCTCTATTTAAGTCTGTCTCAACATAACTGCACAATAACGTTGACACTCTTTTGAGCCACTTCTTCCATCCACTTCAAGAAGACAGTTGTCCAGGCACTAGTCCTGCAGCAGATCCTTTCCTCTGCATGAAGCCCCACTGACTTCAAGGTATCTCAGCAACCAACACAAGAGTCCACCCACATGGATCTGATTGCAGGACTGGGGCCAGTTTTTTGCTTTATGAAACTTCATTTGCTGGAATCAAGTTAAATCAAAAATTATTTCATTTCACTGGGGCAACAACAAGTAGTGTTACAAAGTATATAGTATGTTAAACTGTGTGACAGTTATACATACTATATTCATTCTGTTGCTATATCAAACTGAAATATGGTAATGCAACCTTAGCTATGGTTTCCCAACTGCTCCACTATAATAAAATCTCAAAAT